TAAAGGATTATCCAAAGTTTATCCAGCCCTCACACACAGTGGAAACTAAAGCAGAGCCTTCTTGCATTCGATGCATACTTTTTAAATAAGAAAAAGATTTGCCCTTGAGGCAAATTAGCCAAGTGGTCTGGCACTGTCTCAATATGCTGTCATATCTTGCTCTCTTACATATACAAGTCCCTTTCTTCTAGGTTGCTTAGAGCAGAAGAAAGACCAGCTTTATGAACAGGTAGCTTATCCACTGTCTAAGGTGATGGTCTCCAAATGGGTGCAGGTACCCCATGGGGGCACAAGACAATCAATTGGAGTGCAGGAAGAAAATACTTTTTGTACTATTAATAAGTAAAATTAAAAAACTAAAATTGTGTTTAATTCATCTTTTTTTACTTCCTATATTTGGGTATGTTTTACAATGTACTTTATATATGAGTACAATAGTCCATCTATATAATTTATAAATAAATATACATCTATTGAGGATGCATGCTGAAAAACATTTTACTGATCATTAAAAACTAGTGAATACATATAATGCTTGAAAATACCTTTACCCATAGACCCAGCCTGAAAACATACAGTTCCAGGAACTGGTATTTCTTCAGCTTGGCTGAATTTGACCTATTACCACTCAAGATTTTAAGAAAATGCAGAGGCACCTATACCTCGTTCCACCATAATATAGGTTTAGCTTAACTAGCCTTCATGCTATACCCTTTTAAATGCTCTTGACCAGCTTGTGTAGAAAACTGAATTTCTGTTTAACACATCAGCTATCCAAAAGTGTGAAATAAACCATTCAAGACTCTTCACAGAATATGTTCATCACAGGGCATCCATTTTACTGTATAACGCAGAGGAGAACAAAAGGTCAAAATACGAACATTCGAAAACTCTGACTGTGAGAAAAGAAAAAACCCTTCTGTTTCCCCAGTATGTGACATTCTCTAGACTCCTTTTGGGGTTCATTTTCATTATCTTGGTTTCTGAGAAGGATCAAAAGCACAAGTAACCTCAGAAAAATGCTTTGGCTTTAAAAAAAGGACTAGAAATCTAATGGGAAGAATTATTATTATATAACTTCCAGTCCAATCTAACAGATACAGGTGGCTTGGATCGTTCTTACAAACATTAGATTAGCCTTCAATTTCAGATGCTTTATATTAAGTTGCCCTTAGGATGTGAGGATATATTCTTAGCTTGGTTTAAATCAGTGGGAATTTTGCCATAGACTCCAAGGGGCCCTTACCTTCTACAATTTTGTCTTAACAAGGTATCAGTGCTTGCCAAAAACTGCATCTTGATTTATTTGCAAATTATTGCTAAAAATATTTGGCTTAACATGTAATGGGTTCAAATTTTCAGGTGGTATAAATCAGCATATCTGCAGAACTATGCCAATTTAATCCACTTGAGGATGTACCAGTGGGTTTTATCCTATTTAAGATCGTTCACAGTAGTAAAGTAATTGTTTTAAAATCTTCCTCGTTTTACACAGCAGGCAGTCACAGTGGTTTCACCCAGGGCTACTGCATTTTTGTGGGTATAAGCTGCAAATCAAGCAAACCCATCCTTTCAAAAATGTATTATTCCTTGAAAGTAAGTACACAATTAACCTACATTTTTTTAATTCAGTCCTGGCACAACTCAGCAATCAGATGCTGTATTTAAATTTAGGCAACACAAAAGCAAACCTACCTTTGCAACACTGCTTTACAATAGAGAAACTTTGAGCAATGGTGGTTCATTTCTATTAGAAAGTTGATTTATACTAGCCATTTGTGCAATTTTACCTGTTACTTGTTAACAACTAGTCACACCTGTGCAAGATCCTCTTTCAACCTCCTTTTTCCAAAAAACTATCTAAAGTAAACTCAATTCATTTTTACTTGATGTAGTGTTATAAGAGAGAAATTTGCCAGCTGAGGACTTGGGCATTTAATAGACGAGTTGAGAGAGAGAAAGGGGAAAGCCTTAAGAGAGAGAAAGAAAAATAAACACTTCAACACAACTGCAGCTGTGAAGTAATCTCTTCCCCCTGTTACTTCCATAAGCATGTGCTTACTCCATGCTGCTGCAGAGTAGAAGAGGGAGGCTTTTCTACTTAACCAGTCAGTATTTATGAAATGATAGGAAATTTTGGTATTTGCCTTATTTTAAAATAATATAAAGCATTTGGAAGTAAAATATTAAGCAACATGAGATATGGGAGAGCAAATCCATGTCATACATAATAATTTATGATAATTATGAGCTCACATTGCTTCATTGGTTTGCTGGACTAAAGCTCACATAATGCAAAATACCATAAAGTAGGAATAGAGAATCAAAAGACCATGCCTAACTTAATGAAAATGAATTTATCAGGTAGGAGTTTACAGCATGGAAAGTTCTTGTTAATTGTTTCACTGGTAAAGTATTTTGACTTTGGATAAATCTTTATTACTGTGCTGTATAAAAGCACTACCAGTTTGGATAAGAAATAGCTGTGTTAAAGCTTAAAACCCTTCACCTGCCCATCCTCCCCCTTTGATTCCAGCTAGCAAATGTTTCTTCACAATTTTTAGCAAAAGGTAGGAGTGACCAGCAAGTGGTATCTTTTAGTGCAAAACTTGTTTCTTCAGCTTCCTCTCTGCTATACTCCTAAGTGCAAGTTCTTTTCACACAGGAAAAAACACATGAAATCAAGTAATTATCCAAGTCTGTAACCATGCAAGTGCGGTTTGAAATAAACTGTTGAAGATGGCCAACGTCCCATTAGTTTCCATGGAGTAAGGATTGTAAAATATCATAGAACAGTTTGGGTTGGAAGGGACTTTTAAAGATCATCTAGTCCAACCCCCTGCAATAAGCAGGGACATCTTCAACTAGGCCAGGTTGCTCAGAGCCCCTCTACCCCCTCTCTGGCCAACCTGTTCCAGGGTTTCACCACCCTCATCGTAAAAAATTTCTTCCTTACATCTAGTCTGAAACTAACCTCTTTTAGTTTAAAACTATTACCACTTGTCCTATTGCTACAGGCCTTGTTAAAAAGTTTGTCACCATCTTTCTTATAAGCCTCCTTTAAGTATTGAAAAGCCCCAATAAGGTCCAAAATATTTCCCAAATTATCTGTGAAATACCTGCCAACTTCCCTGAAGTTACAACAGCAGTAACTCCAGTAAGCAAGTACTGACTAATGAAATGACGGATAAACATCATCAATCTGATTGTCAACAGAGGTGTATTTACCACTAAGTTTCACCCATCTGAGGATTTATGTTGCACATATGTTTTTTGCTGAACTCTGTGAGCAGCTGGGCAGCAAAACTGCAAGTCAGACACGCTCCATCCTTTTTTTTTTGAAGGAAGAGAAATAGAGACAATTTGGTAAGAGCTGTGAAATTCATGCTCCAAGGTGAATTGTTAATGTAAATCAGCTTATCATCTCTTAGTATATATACATGTTCAGTATCTTAAATGATAAGCCATAATGTGGAGTGAGTACCTCAATCATTCGACCCTGTCTCCCACTGTCTCTTTCATAATGTAATTAAGATCTACCTAAAAAATGAATTAGATTTTCAGTCCTTTAGAAGGCTGTTGCCTCACTGCTTTAACAGTTGGAAATCACTTTACAGCTCCCAGGTGAAATTCATTCAGGGTAGTTCATACCTGTTTTTCTTGTGCCAAAATTGTCACAGAGGAAAACAGTTTCTCTTCCTCAGGGTCTCAGAGGAACCATATCGCCTCCAGACCTTATCTTGTTTGTCTAAATGAAGCAAACGCTAGTTGCCTTCTCTTGGAAAGTACCTGCTTTCCCTGATACACTAGTGCTAGATAACTTCCGTGTACTCATTTTCCTGAACACAGATGACCAGAATTGTACTAACGGTTCTAGAGAAAATCCAGAAAAAATAATAACGCCATCTAAAATGGCATGAATGTTTCCTTGTCTGCCTTGTCTGTCCCGTTCCTGTCTGTCTATCCCATCATACCTAACTAGATATGGTTTTGGGTCACACTTGCCATTTTTACAGCCACAGCAATTGGACAGCTTACAGTTAATCCTAAAATGGACTTCTTTCCATGTAAAACACAACATATAATTAGATATGGTTTAATAACATATCATTCGTATTTCTTACTTCTTTTTTTAATTATACCTTGTAACTAAATTTATTTCATGACAGAAAATATTAACGTCTGCTTCATTCAATATGCATTTCAACACTGATGAGCAAGTTTAGTTCAGAATTATTGTCTAGATGTATCTCTGGGTGGCTAAACTGAAATTTTTTTCATGAAAAAAATCTGCCCACATTATTTGCTTGTTTCTGGTTCTTTGCAATAGCTGACAGCGATTCATAATTCCCTCCTAACATGTATAATATCACTAAACCTGCTACACCTCAAGTTATTCAAACATACTAAAAGGCCATTTCAAAGACAAAGCAAGTCTGCTAACTTCTGTGTAGCTCAACTATCCAGAGATAAGATTTCTCACATGCTTATAAAAAGTGTGAAAAAATGAAAAATCTAATAAACACTAAGGTTTGTTCCTACAACAGTGAAGAATAAAATAATGTAATTCTGAGGTAAACTGACAAGGGTATTCTTGGAAAAAAGTAAGTGGACAATATATTTTTTAGACTGATTTGAAGATAGAGGCCAATTTCCCATGGATTTTGCTAGAACAAGGATTATGAAGTACAGATCAAGTTATTCTGGACATATTTGCCGCCTTCTCTGGTATGACAACAGCAAGGAATAATTCCAGTAAGTAAATGTGACTGTCTTTAAACTACTGAGAAAAATGAGCCTTACTTTCTCTGACAACATCCCAAGACCCATATTTACATACACTGTTCCAAAGTCAAAGACTCCAGTCAGCGGCAAATCAATATAGCAATATCTAAAAGATACAGTGTTTTGATATAGGGTAAGAAATTGCTTTCTAATTTACTGCAGTGAATAAACAAAGCATTGGAATGCATAAAACCAAATTTATCTCTTTCACTGACCTTGAAGCTGGCGTCCTTTGTATAAATCCTTTGTTTTGGTTGGGTGAGCTCTGGCACCATTATCACACTTCGGTTGTTCGTACCTAAAGAACAAACAGGGAGAGAATAAAATTAGCCAAGGTTAATTTGATTTAGAACTAATTTATTTCCAATTTTGTAGTCCAAATTAAACGTATACCTTCTTTTATTCAGGGAATAAGCTTGTTTTCTGTTCAGAAGGGGCAATGCAAATTCATCTGGCTATTTTTCACTTACCTCAAAGAACCAGCACATCTTTATTCTCTTGGCGTTGATACCAAACTAAAAAATTATTATGTATTCCAAAGCCCATTCTACAGGCAGGAGAACTGAGGAAGGAGAAAACTGTGGGAAATTGCTACGAAGTAATACACTATAAAAAATAATTTTGAAAAAACACCAAAAAACCCCAAAAAACAAAACCAAAGTCTGGCTCTCCTCCCACCTACCCAATCAAAAAGCCATAAACACTATGACAAATTTGAACATCTGACACAGTATTCATGTTGGGAAACACCAGAGAAGCAATTTCAAAATCACAGCAAGGCAGGTACTGTAGTTAGTTACTTATTACTGCAGCTCTAGAGCCATGTGCTACTGCATCCTCTCCAAAAAAAAATGTTCATTTACATAAGAAGGGCTAACCTTGAACAGCTAACATTTTGATCAAGAGTGAGGAACTGACAGGCTTTCCAGAATGCCAGGAATTGTGCTGGAACAGCTTGAAATGGATTGTGAAAAAGACTGAATCTCCACCTGCTACTTGAATACTCTGGTTCCTCTATGCTTTCTGAGTTTACTTGAAGTCACTTTGTTAGTCCAGCTGGTAACAAGAAACTGGTATTTGTCCTTCCAACAAACATCAACTTAGGGAACACCACTAGCAATATCTTTTATGCAAGACTGGGAGGCATGGGAGCACCTGCTGCTGAATCTCTCCTTTTTTCTTATGTCTCACTACTGATGCACGATGGTTTTTCACTCAGCTTGACAGAATCTCTTTCTGAGGAATTTTACATTTTCATTCTCCTTACATAGCTCGAAGCTGCAGAATTTAGTGTGTATCATTTCAGTGAAAGTTTCAATTCTCAGTTAAACACACTTAGTAATATGACTTGTGTCCACATACATGTGTGTACCACATACATACCTGTTCGCTGAATTTAGCTTCTTTCATATTTTATATAACTGCTCATCTTTCTTTGAAGTTCTCCTGTTCTAAGTTCTCCAAAATGGCATTTACTGAGCGGTGTACTAAAATGTCTAATTAAAATATACTAATCCAAATTTTTGGTACAAAATATTCTTTTTAAAAGCATTAAATGGAGACTATGTCCTGGGTCCAGGCCAGACTGCCCCGAAGAACAATACCTAAGTATTCTGATCTTAATTATCGGGCAGAATGAAAAAAAAAAAACAACATTATTTTTCCTTTGAGTGTTTAATTTATTTCCACATCATTTGATGAAACTGCCTACTGGCCCATCACATTTTGGCTGCTGCAAGAAAGCACAGTGTTGTTTCATGGACATGGGAGAGCTACAGGTACTTTTTTTCCCTAAAGAACAGCAAGAATAGAAGCTGCTTTGAGAGCATGGGTTGGATTCAGACACCTGATGGATGACCACTTCAATCAGCCAAGAAAAGAGTGAAAGGGAAATCTCTGAGCAATACTAACTAATGCAGTATCTGGCAACCAGCCTGGTCTCCAATTAATCTGATACCTGAGTCTGCATTCCCCTCATCCTCTTCCGTTACTGTTACTGCTCTGTGCCTACACTTTCTGTTTTGGCCTCTACTCTTCTACCCTTTTGGCTTATATTTTTGTTAAATACACATGTAGTTCATCATATACAAACTAAATCTATTAGACCCCCATAGGTGTTAAAATGCTGCAACATGAAAAGTCTATGTTTAACTCTTTGAGGCAAGTGAAGAAAGACAAAATTAATCATTAGAAATTTACCACACAGGAACAGCCATGCTAAGAACTGACTGATAAGAAAAACACGCTTGCCTCAGTTTTCATGGGGAAAGAGCGGGAAGATAGCATGTCAGAATGGAGCACTGTCAGGTTAAAAATAATGTAGTCAAAAGACATCCCAAGTTACTCTTTTGAATTTTAAAGGGGAAAGAATCCCTAGTAGTGAATGTATATCTAGAGTCGGCAAGGGCTTATGAAGGCTGCTTTATATGTCTGAGCAGTCTGCTGGGAAGCACTGAGGCTTACTGAGCTGTACAAAGTAGCAGAGGATGGAGTTTTTCACAGGGATTCTACAGTGTGGGCAGCCTCATGAAGCAGCTGATTTATGTTCTTTTTTAAGTTTACAGGATCTTGTGCAAGTGGATTGGGGTTTACTTTGCCCATGAACCTAGTTGCTAAAAAGTCACATGTCAGAACACAGACTCATGGGCCTACTGAGCAGAAAGGCTGAGGGTCACGCTGTGATGTTCAAGAGGCATTGGGAGCCAGCTGGTGAGGACCATACTGATAGACTTTCGGGGCAATGGTCGTTTGTATTCTTTAAATGGATTACCTTCTTTTAGTCAAATGGATGTTTCCTCCAGGCTTTCATAAAAGTCAGCTTTATACCAAGACTTCACTTATTTCTTGTGAATTTTACTGTCCTAAAAATACCCTAGAGTGGTTCTTCACTCACATATCTTTAATTTAACTCTAGAATTATTTTTTTTTTTTTTCTGGAATACCTTCACTGACAAATGATTTATCTTTTTTTCAGATACAGGACATTAGAAAGTGAATGAGCATTAATAACTTCCCCTTATTTTGGGGGTCTAATTTAATGAGACTACTATTTATTGTGGTATTCAGAGCCTGAGGATATAAGAAATTTCATCCTCATGAATGTATTCAAAATAAACAACATGAAAAATGCTAAGCTGTTCTGGCAACAGCTTCCCAGATCTGTCTATTCTTTCACTGTTGTCCCCTGGTGATTTGATCCAGATTTGCAGAAAGAGATTCCGGGATGCAACGCATCCATCTTGCTACCAGGACTACCAGTGCTATCAGTTCCTGCATTAGAGTTTTAACAGCTACTTTTCCAATTTGTATTTTGCAGTGGAACGCTGGAAGAGAGCATACACCATTTTGCATGAGCCTGTGGTTCTTTAAACTAGGAAAGACTCACATGGTTACTCCTTCCATTCTATAAGAAAGAATTACAAAAAGACAACTGCGTATTGCTCACCATATTCTGATCCCCCTTTACTTCCCTCTGCTAGAGAAAAAAAAATTAATTTTATCAATATAGAAAAAAAAAAATAAAATCAAGAAATAATTCATGGGATTCCAGCCCACCTAAATCTTTCCTAAAAATGAGGTCTAGACACTCCTCTTCAACTCCAGGTAGTAATCCCATCTGCTTGTTTACCAGGACTGTAGATTCCAAAACACACCAGTCATTCTTTATTTAGTGTGAAACTCCTAAAACTGAGTACTCTTCTTACCCATCTGCGGTCAGAAATGTCCTCTCTGGAGGTATTACTAAATATTACTTTCTCAGAGCTCCATTGAGAACTGCCCGTAAGTCCAGCAAAGCTGAACAAATCAGAAATGGTCAAGACCACAGCAGTTGAACTTTTGAGTATCAGTCATTAGGCAGCACATTCATGAAGCAAAAGGAAGATTTGTGTCTAAACCATATGCATGAGATGACTGAATCCAACTTGCCAGCCTTCCAACTTTGGAGACAGTGACAGACCTCCCTGCCACCTCTTCTCCCACAGCACCACAGGCTGTGGAGCTGCAAACATAAGAGACCAGCAGACCAAACAAGATAAAAAGAAGATGGAGACTGATTCTAGATCCATAGGTGATTGATTCATCAAGGGGTTGGGAAAATCTAGAATTCCAGTCTGTATGACAGTAGAAGTCAACATCACACAGACTGCATGCACACTATACATATGAATAGGAACGTGAGCTGGTTGATTTTCAAGGATCACCACCTCCAGTTTCATGGCTGGTTCATCCTGATGTGCAGGATGTGGCATGAAGCCCACACAGATGAACAAGGAGCACCTAACAAAATTCAGACTTAAAAAGGAAGCATACAAAGGGTGGGAAAAGGTTCAAGTGATACAGGAGAAATATACAGACACTGTCCAAGTGAGCAAGAATGGGGTTAGGAAAGCCAAAGCCCCCTGGAGCTAAATCAGGTAAGGGGCATGAAAGGCAACAAGATGGACTTCTTACACACCTATCAGCAGCAAAAATAAGAATAGGGAAAACATGGGCATGCTGTTGGGTGGGACAAGAGCCCTTGTGACAAAGGAAATAGGCAGAAGTATTCAATGTCTTCTTCTCCTTGGTCTTTACTTGTAAGACTAGTCTTCAGGAATCCCAGGTCCCTGAGACCTGTAGTAAAGTCTAGAGCAAGGAAGACTTATCCTCAGTGGAGAAAGATCAAGTCAGGGATTGTTTGAACAAACTGGACATACACAAATCCATGGGACCTGATGGTATGCACCCACAAGTGCTGAGGGAGATGGCTGATGTCATTGTAAGGCCACTCTTAAGTATACTTGAAAGGTCATAGTGACTGGGGGATGTTCCTGGGGCCTGGAAGAAAGCAAATGTCACTTCTATGGGCAAGAAGGGCAAAGGAGGAGCCAAATAACAAGCCAATCAGCCTTACCTCAATTCCTGAGAAGATGATGGAGCAAATCCTCCTAGAAGCTATTTCAAAATATATGAAGGAAAAGAAGGTGATTGAGAGTAGTCAGCATGGATTTATGAAGAGGAAATAATGCTTGGCCAACTCTGCAGCCTTCTATGATGAGATGACTTGCTCAGCGGATAACGGGAGGAGAGCAGATATTGTTTAGCTTAATTTTAGCAAGGCTTTTGACACAGTGTCTGATTACATTCTCATAGACAAACTGATGAAGTATGTGCTAGATAAACGAACAGTGAGGTGTGTTGAATACTGGCTGAACTGCCAGTCTCAAATAGTTGGGATCAGCAGCACAAATTTCAGCCGGAAGCCAGTCACCAGTGGAGTGCCCCAGAGTTCAATACCAGAGACAATACCATTTAACCTCTTCATTAATGACCAGGATGCTGGGACAGAGACCAACTTCAGCAAATGTGCAGATGATAAAAAATTGGGAGGAGTGGCTGATACACCAGTGGGCTGTGCTGCCATTCAGAGGGACCTCAACAGGCTGGAAAAATGCGCTGGCAGGAATCTCATGAAGTTCAAAAAAAGGCAAATGCAAAATTCGCACACCTGAGGAAGATTAACCTCTTGCACCAGTACGGGATGGGGGCCAAGCAGCTGAAAAACAACTTTGTGGCAAGGGCCTGGGATTTCTGATGGACACTAAGCTGAGTATGAGGAAGGAATGTGCCCTGGCAGCAAACGTGGCCAACAGCCTCCTGGGCTGCATGAGGAAGAGTAGTGCCATCAGGTCAAGTGAGGTGATCCTTCCCCTCTTATTTGCACTGGTGAGATGTATCTGGAGTGCTGAGTCCAGCTCTGGGCTCCACAAACAAGAGAGACACGGACATACTGGAGTGGGTCTAGCAAAGGGCCATGAATATGATTAAGGAACTGAAACAGTTGATGTAATAAGCAAAGGGGGAGACAACTGGAACTGTTAAGCCAGGGGAAGAGAAGGCTCAGGGAGGATCTTATTGATGTCTGTAAATATCCAAAGGTGGGAAGATAAAGAAAATGGAGTAAGACTCTTCTCATCTCACTGATGGCCAGTGACAGGAAAAGATGCAATGGACACAAAATGAAATACAGGAAAATTCATTTAAATGTAAGAAAAACCTTTTTTTTTTTTAAACTGTGATGGTGATCAAACACTAGAACAGGCTGCCCAGAGAGGCTGTGGACTTTCCATCTTTGGAGATATTCAAAGCCCAACTGGACACCTACCATGCTAAGCAATCTACTCTAGCTGACATGCTTTGAGCAGAGAAGTTGGACTAGAGAATCTCCAGAGGTCCCTGCCAATCTCAACTATTCTGTGATTCTATAATAAAAAGATACTTACATGGAAGAACTACAAGAAAATCAGCAGAAGCCCTATTGTTTGACAAGCACAAGAAGATGATTTGGACTCAAACTAGAGAATGGGAACTAAGGCTCCATAAAATGATTTAAACTGTAATTCAAAGAAGTATTAGTACTAAAAACAAGAAACAGTGAACCAACCTAGAGGTGAAGAACAAAGGAAGAGCAGAAAAAGGCGCCTCTGGAATCTCTAGAGGACATCTCCATGTCCTCACACAACATGTGTACTGATCCTACAGTTTCAGGACCAAATTTGGATTATTTTGTTTTGACAGTTTATGTATCTCAACTTGCCAGAAACAGCAGATCAACAGTAACCTTAAGTCATGCTCACTTCAGCTAGTACTGTAATTGGCATGGTCTAGAGTGTGGTATAAACAGCTATCAGTAAATCAGCGTTTGAATATGTGAAAAACACTCCCTAAGAATATAATACTTTAAAGCAAGTAGCTTATAATGTTTTTTCACAAACCTCATGCAAATGATAAAAAATAATTTTTGCTTAAGCTTGAAAAGATTTATGATTGCACCAAGATATCCATACTGCCCACCAGCTTTATATGAGCTTCTATATCATTCCTACAAGGGCCAAACCTCAATAACCAGCCTAAATAACATCCTTTGCAACCTGATACTTGCCTTGTCTACATCTGCTCTATGTGGCTTACAACACTTTACCATGTATCCGGCTCGGCTGAGATGACTGAACTCCAAGCTTCTATTAATAACACACTAAAATGGTATTTCCTCTCTATGGGTTCCCAAGCAGTTGTTCCACCAAAGCTAGTCATATGAAACGGTTGAGAAGGTTGCTGGAAATATAACCGAACATTTGTGAGGTTGGATGTGGTTTCTGTCATAGACCATCTTACTTAGTTCTTCTATATTCGGTCTAGGGAGTGTGAGGTTTCCTTTGAGCTTATTCACTATCTGCTCCAAGCTTTGGCTTCCCAGCACAAAATAGGAGTAAAATAGAGGACTAGGGGAGCAAACTGCCTGTGACATTGCAGTGAAAGAGTCTGTGGCCATCTGGCCTTAACTTTTGATGGCTCTTTAGAAATATTTCACTTCACAGCAGAAGAAACCTATATGACATAATTCCACCAGCAATAGAAATCTACATGCCAGTACATGCACATTAAGGCATCTTCTCACTACAGCTTTTGAGCACTGAGCATGTATTCCCTTACCTGGTTGATGTACCAGGGATGGGACGTCCTGTATCCACCAGAACACACCAGCAGTAGCCCGTAGAAGGATGGCACTGCACTGGTTTGTAGAGGCCGCCCTGAGCACACTCTGGAATGAACACATTGTCTTTCTGGGGCTGTTTAGCTTCCTCCAAGGCTGACTGAAGCTCTTGATCACATGATGATGCTTTTGGAAGAAAAAGAAAGAATACTGAAGAAGCTATATGGAAAGGGCCTACTCAGTTTATCAAACAGTTTTTACATCTTTCCTTGATTGTATGTAAGGATTGTCTTTGGAGATGCTTGCTGCAGCTCAGATAACAGCCACATTGGTTTATGCTGTATTCTGTTAGGAACTTCAGTTTCCTTTTCACACAGCTACTTCCTAATACAGTCCTAATAATATTTTATGTCTCTTTTCCTATCTATACTAGATATAAACTAAGGATAACTAAATACTTTCCCTGCCACCTTAAAAAACCCCTCGCCCACTCCTAAACGACTGATTCTTTTCAGAGGAAACAGTAAAAATCCAACTTCTTAGAACTCCTTACAGGAATTATTCATCTAGATATTCATTTAGATGTTTATACTCTGCTCTTTCTTTCCAGTTTTGGAACAACTTCCTAATACTTTGAAATTTCTTCCACCTTCTTTTCTGGTGATTCTGGTATTGAGGATATATCATTTGTTTTGGAGACCAAAGACCCACAAGAAAAAGTAATACATTTTTATTTCTGCATTAACAATATATCCCAGAACTCTTCTGGATGTGAGAAAAGCTTACGTGTCTACACATTCCTAGCCTTTATGGGAAACTATGAACCAGAGGGCAAAGAGCAGAAACACCAGGGCCTGAGAATGCCAGTCAGTCCACATCAATCTGTAAAAAAACACCTCTGCTGAGGATTTTTGATCCCTGCTAAGCTAGTATATGTGGCACTGCAGAGATAATAAATGAGACAACAGACTATTTACTCAAGCCATTATTTCTCCAGGAACTTTAAAGTCTGTCTCCTATCATGTGAAATTTAGATGCTTAATAAAACAGCTTCTGTATAGTTACCAAACTAATCCAGTGAACAAAAATTAAGTATTTGAAAAACAAGAATGTTGATAACAATAAGCACTCTACAAACACACAACTACTGACAGAAAAAATTCAAGTTATTAGAATTTCAATCAATAAAAGATTCTCTTCCATTAAAGTAATTTCAATGTTAAAAAAAAATAAATCTGTGTGTAATATTTGCTCTTCTTTCAAATCAGTTAAAGACTAGTGAAACACTTATTCTCTAAATCTCTAGCAGGATTTACTTTTTGATTTTTCATTGTTCAACCCACAGAAGAACAAGTTGAATCCTGACTGGATTTTCTAGTGTATTTGTAACAAGTTTCAGCTCCGGTCTAATCTCATTTACTCTTATCCACAGGGTTCAGAAAATGCTTTTCAAACTGTAGGCAAAAACTGACAGAAAGTCACTAGTTATGTCCAGAAAGCTACTTGCCAGCTTCTTGCAACTGCAGATAACCAAAATCAGTAAGACTTCTGTTGCAGGGGAATAGGTGGCAGAAGGTTAAACACCTTCAAACTTTAAATGGCACATGATTCCATCTATACCATGGCCTGGTTTCCAAAGGTTTTTACAATCCATGTAAAACATCTAAAAAACAAGCATGCCGCTTGCTAACTTGATTACAAGGCACAGATGGAAGGTCTTTTCAGTTCTTTGGTTGTGTTTTGTTTTTTGGTTTTTTTTTCTCTTTTGTTTCATACAGTATTTGAGCAGGACAGTGAGATTAATTGATTGATTTTGCATGGTTTTGTCTTCATCTACCCTCTGACATAATCAGAGATTGAATAGCTCTCAAAGCGCCAGTGTTTAGATAATAAACTATACTTAGAGAATCAGTGTAGTGAGGACAGAAAGGCTCCTTTAAAAAAGGGAAACAGCTAATTATTTGCATGTTAAAACCTTCGCAGAAATAGCTACAGTTTCACAAATTAGAAATCCGTCACCAACATCCTCTCAGAGTAGCCAAAATAAATATTTCTGTCAGTGAATCTGGATTATGATGATTACCAAGGTACAAGGTATGACAATCCTGGAAAATGCATCACTTTTAGCTTAGTTGTTCACTTTTTATGTTTCATATATAAACAAGCAAAAAGGAGCAAACGGGGTGAAGCAGCTGCAGTGAGGGGGAGGAAATCATTACTTGTATTTAAACTCCACTAAATTCTTTTCTTATTCATACTGATAAACCTTGGGACCATTCCACAAGCTACTGTGACCTTCTCTCATTTTACATCTTCATAACTAGCAACATAATCTGGCAGATGCACAGGTATTATTATCTCTCGCAAACCCAGAGGAGCGATCCATTTTCATGCTCTCAGTTTTGTTTAGAAAACACATTGGCGTATAGAGACTACATAGTCAGGTCATCCAGATGGACAAAATGTAACAGCAACAGAGAAAGTGTGATGGAGAACTCCCAGTGCAGAAGCAGATTCAGACTGTTTCAGCTGTGAGCATAAACTACACCACCTAATTTCTGGGCATCTCTAGTTTCCACTAATTAAAACAACCAGTCAAGGACAGCACTGCTGGCTCAAAACCACTGGAGTCATGGGCCAGTGCAGTCACCTGCATTGTGGTGACTTAGGAGCAGGTGTTACAGACCTAGATAAATGGTCTTTGCTCTCCTGAGTGACTTGTCAAGGCAAGGATTTCTACAAGCAGCTGCTCAAGCACGAAATTTGTCTCTTGTGCACTAGGTCAGGTTTGTTCACATCCATTTTTTCCCTTATGTGTGGTTTGAAGTCTCAGAGGTAGAGAGAAGCAGTATTATGGGAGAGATGTCAAAGGTGGGTTGCAAATGTGACTTAGGGATTTAGGAGGGACAGTCAGAAAGCTGGTGGAACTTAAGATTGCAAGTGAGAACGGAAACAGGACAGTCAATGACAGTAATCAAAGGAAGATTTAAAGATAGTATAAAAAAGATAAAAAGAAAAAGTTGTTAATGGCAAAACTATGAAAAATAGACCAAAAAACCCCCACCAGAATTCATCCCAAACACTAAGGTAAAAGTCCTGTAACTGAGAGGACTTCAGTGATGAAAAAATCTGCCTTTGAAGAGCAAGCACCAGCACAGGCATTTAAGACAAAACCCCACGTATTGAAGAAACTATGTTATTTTCAGGATGGATTTTCCCCTTCTTGGAACCTTTAATTTCTTACTCTTCCCCTACAGATGGGAAATTGTAACAAGAACTGTTTATTATTAGTTGTAAATTAGTTGACAGATAAAATGTAGATGATTTTTGAGAAACTGGCAAAAATATAAATCAGTGTGATGGACATTATGTCTGTCAGT